CCCTTCTCCCCATAGTGCCAGGGTTAGATGCATGCAGCCATACCAGGTGTTTTATGAGTGCTGGAGATCCAAAATTCAGAGCCCCCTGCTTGCACTACCACCAGCTTTTAACAGCAAATGTAATGTGTCACTGTTCACACTTAACAAATATGTGCGGAGTCAACCAGCTCACTACTGTTGGAGGCGCTGGGAGTGCCGTGGTGAATAAGTCTGCAGAGGCTCCTTCTGTGTGGAGCTCATATGTGTGGTGGGAGACAGAGATGCCAGGAAAAGGGGAGGCTATTTCTGTTTGGGTCACAAGGAAAGTCTCTCCGGGTAAGTGGCATTTAAACTTTAATGGGAATGACAAGAAGTCAAAAACAGCAATGATGGTGAAAGGCAAGGACGTTCCAACCTGAAAGAACAGCTAAAGAAAGCACCAGGAGAGAGACCATGCTTGCTGTGTCTAAAGACAAAGCCCTGTGTGCTGCAGCACCAGGGCAAGGTGAACATCTGGGAGACGACAGAGAGACAGACAGCGAAATGAAAGAACATGGCCTTTGGCTTAGGAAGCACCATCTGCTCAAGAAGCAATGGGAAGCTGCCCAGCTACGGGAAACACACTGCTTTCCAATGAGGTCACACCATTCTAGAACAGGCTTTACCCAGAATGCTAACATCCAAGTCAGCCCATTCCTCATAGTACGCTGTGATTTGAGTCTTTTTTATTCTGCATTTTTCTATAAAAAGCCATGTATTTGAAAGATTTCAAATATAATTTAGCTCTAAGAAGGGAACAGTCCATCCCATCTGAGCACACAGAGTATAAGTGATGGGTTCATAACCTGCATAGCAAAGCTAATAGGATTTCTGCAAGGCTGTCACAAAGCCCTTGGTGTCTGGTGGGGTGGCTCAGTTCAGAAGGAAGTGGGGGAGACAGCCAGAGCTGTCCTCCTGGCAGAGCCATACCCTGGGGCTTTGGGCCAGCTTGTCCTTCCCACCAATTACCAGTAATAAAGGCACCTAACTGCAATGCACTCCAGATGTAGACCCTGTATCCAGAGGAAAATGAGGTTTGAGACAAGAAGCAGGGAGAGAGACTCAAAACAGACAAGGGGATATGAAAATTCTCAGTTTCCCAAGCAGAAATCTTTGCATTTAAGGGATGGGATAGGACTAAGGAGAAAGTTTATAGCTTAAAGCCTTGCAGTTGGAGGGTATACAAATTAGTCCAACCACTCTGGAAATCAGTATGGAGAATCCTCAAAAACTAAAAAGATGTGTATCATACAACCCAACTATACCACTCCCTGGCATACACCTAAGGAGCTCAACATCATACCCCACAGATACTTGCTTAGCAATGTTCACAGTTTCCCTAGTCACAATAGCCAGGAAATGGGAACAACATAAATACCCTTCAACAGATGAATGGATAATGAAAATGTGGCACAATGGAATACTAGTCAGCTATAAGTAAAAATGAAATTATGCAGAAAATAACTGCACAGAATCTAACTCTGGTTATCAGTACAGGTGCATATATTGGTAATTCAATTTTACTTCATACAGTGGTGGTGGCAGCTGGGAGCTGGAAGCTTTGCCTGTCTTGGGCATGTTTGGAATCCCCAACACCACAGCCACCCAGGTGTATGTGACAAAGTTCCGGATGCTCTTCAGAAAATCATAGAGGAGTAATAGAATGAGTTCAGGCAGTAAGAATGCTGGTGGGTTTGTCAGGTGTAAAAGGGTGTTGATGAGGTTATTCTCTGGGCCCCGGGGAACAATAAGAGTCTTCATGCCAATGTAAAGACCAAGGTAAAGTTGTCATGCTTTTCAAATGAACCACATGGTTGAACTACAGGGATGTGAGTGAAACACAACTTGACCTTACCTGAGTGGGATTACACTGTTTGACATTGCACAGTTATGAACAGAACTACTTTAGGGGATCTTAGGGAGGGAAGATTTATTTCATACATAGTTTCAGAAGCTTTGGTGTCTAGCCATTTGGCCCCCTGCATTTCGATAGAAGCCACAAGTATATAATTCATATTCATCAGATTTTCAAAACTAAAAGCCAAAATCAAGTGTCAATGAGATAAAACAGTAGAAACTCAAACTCTGTGCAGGGAAGCAAAAAGTATCTTAGCCAGAAAACTGATTTGGTATTAGTATGCAAGTGTGAGTATACACACCACACAGGAGCCAGCCATTCCTGTCTAGGCACATGCATGAGAACAGGCTCTCACGTGCCCTGGAAGGACTCAGCCAGCAGACTAGTTCCTGGCCAACATCTAATAATATGAAACAGAACATCAGAACACATTTTTAGTGGAATAGAGGATTGCCTTGTGAATTTACCACCTCCACATACATCACAGAGAGAGAGAGACAGAGACAGAGACAGAGAGACAGAGAGCAGTGATGCAAAACGTTTTCCTTATTGTGGATCAAGTGCCAGAGTTTAACATTGCTGCCCTACATGGAAACTCATACATGTGAACTCCAGGAGACTCAGAAATGCAAATATGGCATAGCAAACCCTGGGAAAACTCAAAGCACACACACACACTCACCTGTGGAAAAGACACACATGACATCTGGACTCACTGGAAAGATGTCCACCAGCAAAAGCAGATGATGAACCGACCACAGCATGGTGCTGTGTTTTGAGAACTCTGGGTGCTGCATACTTGCTGGAGGAAGTATCTCACTGGGGGTGAGCATTGAGAGTGTACAATCTCCTACCACTTCTGTCCACTCCCTGCTTTGTAATTTTGAATCAAGATGTGGGTTCTTGGTTTCCTGTTCCTTCCTCTATTCCTGTCAATTGCTGCCCTGCCTCCCTAACATGAAAGACCCCTCAGGAACCATAAGCCAAAATAAACTGTTGTCTGTGAGTTGCCTTGGTCATAGTGTTTTACCTCAGCAACAGAGAAGTAAATGCTACAGTGTATCAATACGGATGTGTCTTAGAAACATTCCCAAGTCTAGGAAACATTCCCAAGACTAGGAAACATTCCCAAGCCAAAAGACCACACCCTAGAGCACCAAATTGTAAATCTGCTTAGATGACAACATTTTAAAATATGCAATTGCTCGGACTTAACTATGGTCCAAGTACACACACGTACACACACACACACACACACACACACACACACACACACAGGTTATCTTTGAAAAAGCTAGTGGAGAAGTCAATGGGTTCTGGGCACAAAGCACTTCCAAAGTTCTAGTTAGTTCTTCAGCCAGATAAGGATGCTCACTGGCTGAACCTGAATCACTGAATCTGCTCCTTCCCCTTGTTGCTCTTAGGTGTGAATGGCATATGTGACAACTTTTCTTTGCTATTTAAGCCCAATTTTGAGTTGTTTTCCACCATTTGTACTTAAGCTGAAGCAGGCTCAGTAACAGGGATCTGCCTCTACACCAACCTTCAGTCCTATCCTGTTGGTCTCCTCGTATGGTTAAAACTTAACAGTATTAGTGACCTCCAGCTACAAACGTGTTTGCAAGAGGAGCCTAAAACAAGGGCACCCTGGCTTCATCAGAACATGGTGGGCATGTGCTGAAACATTACACTGTACTTCATAGATGTGTGCAATTGGGACATGTTGTTAAAAACAATTCTTATGAATCCCCATACCAAAGAAAATGCTGTTGGGATCTGTGCAAATGTCATTCGAGGTTTTAAATCTACTCAGAAAGAAAAAACTATTATTAAAAACAACTCATTGTTTTCTGGGTCCTGTGAGGCTCCTGTCTCAGAGACATTTTGACTTAAGCACATGTGACAAGGACAATAGAGATTCTGAAAACAATCTATAAATCACCCAACATATAAGAAGACAGGCTTATACATTTGCTGCCAAGAGCTTAATTTGCCTAGAGTAACACACACACACACACACACACACACAGAGAGAGAGAGAGAGAGAGAGAGAGAGGCACATAGAGACACATGCACATGTGCACAAACACACTCTTACATGCACACACATGCACACACTCCTGTGGTCTGGAAGTCAGACAGCAGATGAACACAGGAGTTCCCCAAAGGAACAAAGCAGGACAAGTGAGAAGGAAGATGACGATCAGGTCAGAGTGTGTGATCCCTGCTGTTAGGGGTTGAGGAATAAGGGACAATGGTTTTCTCACAGACAAACCCTATAACTGGGGACAGTGTTCTGGGGGAAAATAAGACCCCCATCCCACCTTGCTGCAGGATAGAGAAAGATGTAAACAAGCCAAAGAGATCAACAGAGAAAAGCAGGTGCATGTGTGTGCGCGCACACACACACACACACACACACACACCATCTACTGCATCTATAGGACATGTGCACACCACATGCACACACATACACCATCTACTGTGTTTACTGGACATGTGCAAACCACATGCACATGCACACACACACACACACACACACACACACACACACACACACCATTTACTATATCTAACAGGATGAATCATGAGGCCCACCATCTTACTGAACCCTCTAAGTAGCTCTACAAGGGCAAGCCTTGTTTTTGAGAAGAAGGTGTTCAGACAGATGTGTCACTAAAAGCTGCCCACCCTTGGCTGGGAGAGCTGGGATACAAGCCTATACCTCCACAACTCTGAAGTTCACAGGAAAAGGAAGTGTGCAGCCTGACTAGTTCTCAGAGCACCATCCCACAGAACAGCTTCCTGTGCCAGCCAGCAACCCCACTCTCTCCTGCTACATGCAATGCTGCCTCTAGTAAAGATGTAGGTCCAGCCATACTTGGTCGGTTCCAGCCCAAGGAGAGGGTCACTCACTAGTAACTCTCAGTTCACATGGCACAGCCCTCCCCCTATCAACTACACCAAGCAGCCCACACAAACCTTGGCCACTAGAGGAATAAGGTTAAACAATAAAGCAGGTTGACTCTGGGCCACTGCACCCCAAACACCCACAGGACAGTGTTTCTTGAGAGCCAACTGCTGTTTCTGGTCCTGCTGATGGCATTTCAGCTCCCACAGTTACCTAGGGTCCAGCAGGAAACACTCTCCAGGAGGGATATGCTGTTGTAGAGGGCATGCATGTACATGAGGTGGACCATCAGTTCAGCCAGCCACCACCAGCACAGCAGGCGGCCCAAGCCCTTGGCCAGAATGCCAAGACTGTGCTTTGAAGAGCTGAGCTCTGGCTGCTGCATCTGAAGAGGGAACAACAGAGAAGGGAGTATTAGACAGTGCTTGATCCCAAGCTGTGCAGGACTCTCTCCCGTGATGTTTCTGAAATGGTTTGTACAAATTATCCGTGCTGTTTCTACTGACAGGCCACTGGAGTTTGCTTGCATTAAGGACACTCAGTTTTCCCGGGAAAGAAAGTCATTCCAATTGGGAACTGCCCCCAGAACAAGAACAGGTGTGGCAACATGGTATCCTACAGCCAAGAACAATGCCAAATTCTGCACCATTCTATCCCAGCTTTGACCCAAGGTAGCCCAGGCTGGACCAGGATTTCAGATGCTCTGCCTCTTGAAACTGTCTCTCTTTGGGTCCTGGTCCCCCTGGCTGTTCCCACTCATCACCTCACTCATGCCTGAGCTGTTAGTCAGTCTAAGGAAATGCTAGACGCAGGAGAGGAGAGCTGGGGATGGAGTGTGAGTGACATGGAATAATTAAGGATGTCTGTCAGTCCACAGTTTTAAAAAAGCAGAATAAATACTCAGAGGAGACTGCTGTCTCACTCAGTAGTAATAGGCAGGATTCTAGCACCAACCACACAACTCCATGATCAATCCCCTGGGTCTTGGTTACCTCAAAATAAAGTAAAAACTATGGTGTTAGTGGCACATTTAAAGTGTTAACACCTACATGGCTTCCCCTTGTTTCCTCAAGGAGCTCCAGAACAAACCCAGTGTTACATGGAGCCCCACACTGAATGTGAGGTAGGTGTCTCCATTGTCTATGGACAGAAACACAGAGGGTGGCTACCCTAAACAACCAGAATCCCAGACCTTGGGGTTCTGGAAATTCCCAGACTCTGTACCACCTGAGCATCCCAGACTCTGAACCACCTGAGCATCTCAGACTCTACCGCCTGAGCATCCCAGACTCTGTACCACCTCAGCATCCCAGTCCCTGCTCAAAAGCCACTGGAATCTTGAAGCATTTCAGAATTTTGAATTAGAGTTGGTGTGAGGTTGAAGCCATCAGAGAACCCCTTCTACCGTGGTGACTTAGCCATGGGGTAACTTTACTGTGGGGGTAACCTCACTGTGGGGTCACCTCACTGTGTATTCCCACCAAGGCAGTAAGAATCCAAGCCAAGGGAACTAAGAAAACATGAGGAGACACCAAGCCCCCACTAGATGGACCACTTGTGTGGTGCCACATGCTGGTAGTATCATCTAGAAGCGAGCTGTCTAGATGAAAATGCTAGCAACTTAAGAGCTGTGTTGGCAGATAGCAATTCTCACACACCTGAATCTGTCCAGTTTCTAACAGGTGCTGAGTTTACAGTCCGCAGCCCAGGTCCCCAGAAACCCAGCCTGCATATGGGGTTCCAGGACCTTGCTGGTGTACTTGACAAACAGAGACAACAGATGGACAATGGCAGAAAATTCACTTTCCCAGCTTGCCTCTCAGCAAAAGGTCAATGTGGAGGCCCTCCTCAATGACCCCAAGCCACAGGCAGTTCACAATGACAGGAATACCTATAATCAAACATGAGGTCCACCTGGTAGCTGGCTGGCTTCTTGATAATGGCATAACTACTTCCCAGGAACCTAACTAAACCTTCACTACTGCTTTTCTGAGGGATATGTCTGTGCCACCACTGCCAAGGAAGACAGAGCGCCTCCTACAGTGCTCCCTGTAATGAACATGTCTCCATACTTGGAGCCATAGAAACACAGGTTCCTTAACTGCACAGGTGCACCAGGAAAAGGGTCCTCACCCAAGTCCTGTCAATTCACTCTTACCTAAAAAAGAAAAGGGGAGGGCTGCTTGGGGCTGGGGACTTTTGCTCAGTGAGTAAAACTCATGTGAAATAAGCAGGGGGATCCAAGTTTAGTCCAGAGCCCAAATAAAAATCTGGCATGGTCACTTAATCACTGAGGAGGCAGACAGGAGGATCCATCCCTGGCCAGCCTAGCCTAGCCTACATGACAAGCTGTTGACAAGAGAGTAATGCCTCCTGTCATGAACATACTCACATGCATGTACATGCACACACAGACACATGCACATGTGTGCGTATGCACACACACACACTCCCAGACACACACACACTCACAGACATACTCACACACACACACTCACAGACACTCACAGACACACTCACACACACAGTCACAGACACTCACACACACACTCACAACACACTCAAAGACACACTCACACACTCACAGACACACTCACAGACACACTCACACACACACTCACACACACTCACACACAGACTCACACACACACTCACAGACTCTCACACACACTCACAGACTCTCACACACACTCACAGACACACACACACTCACAGACACACTCACACACACAGTCACAGACACTCTCACACACACACACTCACACACACACTCACACACACTGTCACACACACACGAGCAGTCATTTGCCTTTCTGGAAGGTTGTGCATCCTGATGGTCCACCATCAGCACAGGGATCTTTTATTCAAAGTCATTTGTCCCTTGTCTTGCAGCAGGAGGGAGAGACTGCCGCACAGTGCTCACCCTCAGAGCTGCATGGAAAGAAAGCATTCCATCTGAGCCATTTCCAATTGAGGGCACTGTCAATCTTGAGATCATTGGAAACCACCATGGTGGGAATTTCAAGCCCAGACACCACTGGAAAACACTCATTAATCCGTCTGACAACTGTATTTTAAAACGCATTATGATTTAAAATCTCATTTCATGCAAATTGCATAAAAGGGAATGTTACCTTTCTCCCTCAAAGACAACTCTGAAGACTGAAGATGACAGTTGTCAAAGATGAAAGGTTCTTGTCCTTCCCGCAGGAGTCACATGTATGTCTGAAAGCAACGGCGGCCTTTCCCGGGACCAGTGTCCTCATTGATCCCTCTGCAGGGCTTCTGCCTACAGGGTCCAGGGTCCATGCATCCCTGGACCCAAGCTGTATTCCTTCAGAGTTGGGACGGCTTCTCTGTATCGTCCAAGTCCCTAGCCTACTCTGTGAAAAGCTTCTTACTCAACCCAGCATTAGTGGCTGAAGCCAGCCACCTGCAGCAAGGCCAGTGATGTTCACTGTTCTCGCCCAGGAAGTCTACCAAGCTGGCAGCTCATGCTGTATCACAAACCAGTACCTGGTCTAGACAGCTAGAGCCTCCAGACCCTCATACCCGCCAGATACTCTTTTCTCTTTAGCCTCTGCCACAGCAAGTCAGCGTGACAAGGTTGTGTCTTCTTCTCTTTTTCTATTTTCAAAGCAATAACTCAAAATTCACTATATAGCCAAGAATGTTCTTGTGTGTATGTGCATGTGTGTGTGTGCACACATAAAGCCACAGGCAAATGCTTAGTGTCTTCCTCTATCACTGTTTACCTCATCTTTTTGAGTCAGAGCCTCTCACTGCCTCTGGAGCTACTATTTTGGCTACACCCTTCTGGCAAGCACCCAAGACTCACCTGCCCCACCCCCCACCCCAGCAGTGGGGTTACATGGGTGCACTGGCTTATCCATCTTTTGTGTGGTGTGGGGATTCAAACCTAGGCCCCTGTGCTTATACATCAAGCACCTTACTAACTACTGAACTATCTTCCCAGCCCTTGATCTTGAATTTCTGATCATCTTGTCTCTGCCTCCCAGGCTGGGATTCCAGGGCCAAGTACACACCCTAACAACTGCACCTCAGCACCAGTTCCGACGCTCCTGCCTTTACTCCATCTACCTAGCCTGCCTTCCACATGCCTGTCTTTGTCTCCATCTACTATGTAAGGCGATACAAAGTCCCTCTCAGCGGTAAAAGATTACATGAATTAGAAGCTGTAGTGCTGACTTCACCTTTTCTCTACAATCAGTCATTCAGGTAGTCTCCAGACCCAGAGGCTCCTGACTCTCAGCACTTCTGAGACACCAACACCTATCTTCTGCCCTACCATGCCAGCCACTCTCTGCCAGGCCCACCCTGCTTACAGTGATTGTCTGGTCCCGTCCAACAGCCCGGCACAATGGCTTCTGACTAGTTACAACAGTAATGGCAATAGTGAGTATGATAGTATCCATTCATCAAGCCTCATCACTTCATGGGACCATAGGCTCCCCACAACAATCCTGGCTTTGCTGACCTCCCCATCCCACAAAAAGAGCAGCTCACCAAAACAGAACAGGGATTTGAAGCCCTCCACACTGAGGATACCATTTGTACACTGTCTCCAACGGGTGGGAAATGCAGCCTTGGTCAGGAAGTCCCAAGGTGTCCCACTCAGCCTTTCTGTCACCCTATCCAGTCTCCACGGCAGAGTCCATCTGCTCAAGGAAGACTCTGAGTCCTCAGATTTCCAGCAAAGCAAATCAGCATGCCACCCTTCTTTGCCCAGGCTCTACTGGACTCTGCCTCATGGTAGTTCAGATCTTAACTCCCCAGAAGTATATCAGGGAAGCAGCTGACACCTGGGTTCCTGAAATGCCACAGGCCAGAAATGGTCTTCCAGATAAGGCTGGGTAGTAAGTAAAGTGTCTTGTATGGTGGATGAATATTTCACATGTTCTACAGTACAGAGGACACCTCTTCCACAGTTCCCTCATGTGTATATGTTAAAATATGTGCTAAAACTTGGAGTAACATGTAATCTGCCGAGGTGCTGTTCCTCTTTCATTTTATTTATTGTCCCCCTTTTTTTTAACTTAAATTTGAAACAAGGTTGTTTTACATGTCAATCCCAGTTCGCTCACCCTCCCATCTCCCCTATAACCCCTACCAAACCCCAGGCCATCCCCTTTCTGCTCCCTAGGAAAGATGAGAGGCCTTCCATGGGGAGTATTCAAAGTCTGTCACATCATTTGGGGCAGGGCCCAGGCCCTTCCCCATGTGTCTAGGCTGAGGGAGTATCCCTCTACATGGGATGGGCACCCAAAGTCCATTCCTATACTAGGGATAAATACTGATCCATTACTAAAGGCTACATAGACTGCCCATGCCTCCTAACACACCCACATTCAGGGGGTCTGGGTCAGTCCTATGCTGGTTTCCCAGCTATCAGACTGGGGTGCATGAGCTCCCCCTTGTTCAGGTCAGCTGATTCTGTGGGTTTCTCCAGTCTGGTCTTGACTCCTTTGCTCATCACTCCTCCCTCTCTGTAATTCTCACCTGTATCTTGCTTGTCTCTTCTGCATTCTTTTCCATGTGAGATGCTGCTGCCCCCTGGTGGTGAAACGTCCTGCTGCTTACTCACACAGCATTCCAGAGTTCTTCCATTATTGATCATCCTCCTCTCCACCCAGTCTTTCCCTCTTATTTCCTCATTACAGAGGAGGAGAACACCCAAGAATCCCTCAGCAAATACAGAAATTACATGGCTTTTTGTACTTTGTGTGTATAATGTGTGTGATATGTGTGTGTTCCTGTAGAACATGCTTTGGCAGAGGACAATCTCAGGTGTCTGTCCTTGCCTTCAGCTTGAGACAGGGTCTCATGCTCACTTTTGGGTACACAGGTCTAGCTGGGTCACGAACTTCCAAGGAGTCCACCAAGCCTTGGCATTAAAGATGTGCAATATATGTCCGTCTTTGTCTGGGCTCAGGGGATCTGAGCTCAGGTCTCACATTTGCAAAGCAAGTGTTCTGCCCACTGGGCAACCTCCCCTAGACCCTGCCTGGCTTTTTATTCAGTATATTCAATATTTTCCTGTGGCTTGCTGAGCATTTTATTTTTCTGAGATGGCTTTAATGAATATAGGCAGACCATAAAAGGGTTTGATTTGCCCTTCCAAAGTCCCTACTCTCGGCAACTAAAACATATCAGAAAGAAATAAGACCCAAGTAGATCCTGAGCCCCTATAGGAGAGCCCAGTTGTCCTCAGGGGAATGGCAGTCTTTCGCTAAGGATTTGGGTTAACCACGGCCTCAAAGTCTACTCCCGAAGACCAGGCATGGGACCTGACTACATGCTGTTCCTATTGGCCCCTCAAGGCTGCAGTTGGAAAAGAGGGGATGAGAAATACGAAGAATGGCTTTGCATCTCAACAAAGTGCAACTCCCACTGGGCAAAGCTCCCCATACATATGACGCAGTTGGGGAGAGTCTCTTTCCTCTGAGTGGCTTTAGCCTACTTCCCCAAGAATTACTATCCATCCCGCGGGAGGGATGGGGCAGAGGTTTAGTTCAAAAGTTATTGGCTGGAAAATTGGGAAGGAGCCAAGTTCACAATGTCAAGGAAACTGCGAGAGGCAGGATGTGGAAGGTCTGAGTGTGCCAATCCTGTGCCAGCAGTGCCTCCACCCAACTCCTCAGACAAACCCGGGACAGTGGCTCTCAGCCTCCCCAAGCACGAGAGTCACCCTTTGGGGCACCTGGCAAGCCACAGAATTGAGCCTCAACCCAAAGACTTAGTCAGTCATAGGCCTGGGGGTAGAGCCTGAGAATTCACATCTGATAGTGCTGATGCTGCAGACCAGCAACCATACTCTGAGGTCAGCTGCCATCTCTAATCCACCTGTCTTTTACACAGTTATCTAAAACACAATCTCAAATGCAGATCTAAAATCACCTCATAACCAAAGAATGATCCTAGGGAGCCAAGCTGAAGTGTGGGGACCACAAAGCAAGCCTACCTTAGCCGGGAACGCAAAGATGTCTGCAGGGAAAAGGCCTGTCCTTTCACCGGCAAGTCTACAATGTTGCTATTGCTATCACGTAAACAGACTTCCAAATGAATGTGTGGCTCTTGAGTTTTAGGATGAAGTATAAACAGCTTGCAAGAACCTTCATTTATCCTCACCAGGCATCTTTCACATTGTCATAGAAACAGCAACACCTCTGGCCCTGTGCTCTAAACTGCTTCCAGATGTGTACATGCACATGTGTGTTATATGTGAGTGCATGCATTGTGTGCTGTGTGTGAGTGCATGAATGTGAGCTATATGAATGCAAGCAATGTGCTGTGTGTGTATGCTGTATGTATACATGCATAGGTATGCTAAGCATATGCAGGCATGTGTGTATACATGTGTGTCATATGAGGGTATAAGTAGGCATTGTGTGTACACATGTGCATCCATGTGTTGTGTATATGTCTGTATTACATTGAAGTGTCTTGTGTGTCTGTATGTTGTAATGTATTACATGCATTGTTGTGTATACATGCATGTTTATGTGTGTCTGTACATATTTTCTTCTTCAAGATGGCTGTGTTTTGGTGGAGGCAATGACCTTTGGAAACCACTGTTTTAGGTACTAACACATGGGTTAAACTCCCTTAAGTATGTCCCAGGAGATTAGCTGGGGTCAGGCGAGAAGTCTAAGTAGAAGGACAAAGGTGGCTTGACCTGATTTCTAAGACAAGAATGCTATGCAGAGAAGGCACAGGCAGAGTGAGAACACCCATCACCTTCAACATGCTTCAATTAGATTTTTTTTCTCACCTTGGCCTCCAGAACAATTGAGTGCACATCAGGGCTACTTCATGAGCACTCAGAGTAAGAGAGCACACAATCTGCTGAGCAGCAGGCATGCCATCTGTCTTCCTACTTCTTCAAGTGAAATGTCACAATCCAGCTTCCTCCTCCATGGCCTTCTCTGCAGTGGCTATCAGTAGCTATCGGTGGCTATCAGTAGCTATCGGTGTCTATCAATGGCTGTCTGTGGCTACCACCCAAACCTCACAGTAGCCAGGTATGAACCAAGTGGACACTGCCCCCTGAAAATCACCCCACCTTTAGACTGAGATTACTTCAAAGCCTAGGCAAGTGTGTGCTCAGATCCACAGCACACCTAAGTTGAAAGACAAACGATGCACAGACAAACACAGTCAACAGTCCAGGTCTTGGCCTTCAGTAGAACGTCTTTCCAACACACAGCGGCCCTCTCAGCACTGACAGCAATAAAGTTAAAACATTGGTCAACGCTGAAAGCGCTGAAGGTGCCATGTCTTGTAACATGCTCAGTCATGGCTTCACTCTTTATGTGAATCGAATAATCCAGCTCATTAGTATGTGATTTTGCTTCAGTCTTTAATAAATGGTGAAACTGGATGTACACCAAATAATGATTTTAAAATAAATGTCTTTAAGATTCATTAGCAGTAATAGTTTGATATGCCTATATCATTTCTACACACCCGGGTTCAAGTAAAAATTCATCTGGCAAGATAGGCTTGCAGAAGTATCTTTAGGGCCATTTCAAGATTGTTATAAAATTCACTCAGTGAACTCTAGCCATCAAATCAAACAGCAACTTTTAAACTCAAACCCTGAGCCTGTGAAATGGCTCAGTGGGTAGAGATGCTTGCACACAAGCTTCACACACTAAGTTCAATGCCCAGATCCTGAAGGTGACAGGGGTGAACCAGTTTCCTATAGTTGTCCTCTGACTTCCACACACATGTTGTAGCTGATGTGTGCCTGCGCACGCGCGCGCGCACACACACACACACACACACACACACACACACACACGAACAAAAATTTAAAGCCAATTCTAATGCAATCCAGTTCAAAGACACTAACTTAGAACTCACATCCCAAGGCATGATGCAGAAAAATATTTAAGTCTTTGTTTTCCATTATTACACCATTCAGTTTCTTAAAAACCCGCAACTCATAATATAGGATAGCCTGGAACCTAAGCAAGGTATTCTGGGAAGTATGGCACAAGAGGATGTCACATTCTAAAAGCCATTTTCTACTCCATATTCATGATGACACAAGAAAGGCAGCCATTGCCAGAAACACCACCAATTCTTTACCCATTAGACTTTGAGTGATTTCTGGTTGTACATTTAGAAGCTTTTTACTGTTCCTAAATTTTTGGTGAATCCCACACTCAGTATGCAACCCCATTTTGGGGGTCACAACTCACTATCTAAAAGGTAGAAACCTATACAACACCAGCCCTGCCCCCCCAGATGACTCTACCTGTTTGAAGAACTCCGGGAAGTTGATGATGGGCCCATTGTGGAAGACAGGATAATAGAAGACATAGGCCAGTAACCACAGGAAGGAACAGGAGGTGCTCTGGGCAGGCGGGGGCTGTCGGCACAGCTCCAGGCTAAAGCTGGTGTAGTACAGGCAGCGAACAGTCAGTGTGAACTGTAGCAGGTAGTATTCATTTTCTGTCTTGTACCACCGCCTCTGCAAAAGCAACAATGGAGGGCAGCCGCTGAGTGAGGGCCAAGGCAGCATTAACCCACACAGGAGCTGGCTGGGGACCCCTGACTTTGGCTTCCCTGGGGACAGAGCAATGAAAGAGAGTCGAGTACAAAGCAATGTCAATTAAAATCCCACCAGCAACCAAAGCAGTGTGTGCTGCTGTGTAGCTGGGTGGTAGAGCAGGTGCCTTGCAAATCTGGGACCCTAGGTCCAGCCCTTAGCACCAAAAGAAATACTTTATGGTAGTATATACAAGCTTCAGAATCAGGACAGAGTTTTAATTTGGTCCCTATGGGACTTGGCAGGCTGTACACATAATTAACCACTCAACAGCTATATAGACTGTCTCTTGCCCAATGTCCACCTCCCCCAAACACACAGCTGACAGACAATTGTGTCTGTCAAGATGTCATCCCATTATCTGTGACCTTGAGGCAAAACACTGTGCTTTCACTTTCTATACAAAGTGCTTCTGTGATTATCTGTATCGGTGGCTAGTTAATAAGCCTGTCCTGTCAACTGAAAATAAAGACACTGGTCTGACTGTCTTAGGGCCACTGTAGACGTTGTGTGTCATAAGGAAGATGAGTGAAAATGGCCCCTACAAACCATACAGCACTCAACAGTCAGGGTTAAGCATCTAGATAGTGGAGAACTCTGTTGCTATCTCTTTGGTCCTATGACATCTGTCATCCTCCATTAACATCCAAACTGGGAGAAAAGGTGACCCTGGACAACCTGACAGGGCTCAGACATAAAACTCAGACTGATGAACAGATGCAGTGACCGGAATGTCCACTAGGCGGAGCCCCATGGAGAGGCTACTGTTGTTCTGAGAGTGAAGACCACATATGGACTGGATCAGAGCCTTCCCCTGCCCTGTGGTAAGGTGCATAGGAGGCAGACACTTACCTTAACTTCCTCCACACTTTGCACCCTCAGGGTGAAGAGCAGGAAGAGAGAACACAGCCAGGACAAGAGCACTGACCGGAACTGGGCCACACAGAAGGCGATGGTGGTGTGGAGAAAGACCATGGCCATGCCTGGAAGCCCCAGCACACACCAGCAGGCCCACATTCCATAGACCATGATGATCCAGGCTCTGTGCTGTAGAAGGGTGTCCCAAAGAGAAGAACAGGAGGTGAGTTCATGAGTATGGCTAGGAAAGCAGCTGTGTGGATGAGGGCAAACTTTTATGACCAGTAACCAAACCCTGTTCTCACTGCCCTGCCAGGTCCACCAGGAATCGAGCAGTCACTCTCTTGCCTTCAGAGCCTCTTGGACCATATCCCAAAAGAGTCAGATGCTCAGCTGTGTTCTGAACAGACATAGGGGGCCTCACCAGCTGGGAAGACCACATCCCCACACCCTGCAGACAAGGCCCTTCAGAAACCTGAATGAGAATGACTTCTGGGAGCCTTAGAAAAACCCAGGATGTCTATGCCAAGGCTTTCTGATGTCTTAGAGTTAAAGTCAAATATCTAACTACATATTTTTGAAGTATCCAACTGGTGCATGTGCTACTGAGGACACCCATTGGATGCAACCCAAGCAAAAGTCATAACACACTTGAGGATCATTAGGCTTGGTTGTTTTGGTTTTTTGTTTGTTTGTTTATTTTGTTTTTCTTGTTTCTCTTCATAACCCAATTTTGCAGTCCTTGAGTGTAAACTTTTTAGATGACAGCATGACCCAGATGAAGCCAAAGGTTGAACACCATTAGCATATTATTCACAATCAAATTTATGTCACAGAAAAAAATGTATCTTCTCAACTTTTTGTGATGTCAAGTTCTTTAACTGATTGACATGTTCTTCACATTTCAAGAGAATCTGAATAGTATTCTGTTTAGTTGGCAAGTAACTTAGTTGTTTCACTGATTAACCAGACAGTGGGTTAACAGATCTTTGCTGTCATGGTGCCTCTGTCTACATCCAAGTGCTAAATCCTCTTTTTAAAACTGCAATAGGAGCCTGGTATTGGTGGCACACACCTTTAGTCTCAGCACTTGGGAGGCACAGGCAGGTGAATCTCTGTGAGTTCGAGCCTAGTCTACAGAGCTAGTTCCAGAACAGCCTCCAAAGCAATACAAAGCAATACAAAGAAATCTTGTCTCAATAAACCTAGAAAACAAAATTCTTTCTGAGCTGGAGAGATGGATCAGTGGTTAAGAAAACTGGCTATTCTTCCAGAGGTCCTGAGTTCAATTCCCAGCAACCACATGGTGGCTCACAACCATCTGTAATGAGATCTGTATAAATAAATAAATAAATCTTTAAAAAAAAAAAACAAACTGCATTAGGTCTGGAGAGATGACTCAGTGAATAAGAACACTTACTGTGCAAGCATGGCAACCTAAGCTCAGATACCCAGAAGCCACCAAAGCCACACATGCATCTGGAACCCCAGCATCCTATGGAGAGGTGAGAGGCAGAGGCAGAGGCAGAGGCAGAGGCAGAGGAAGCTTGAAGGCCAGCTAGCCTGAAGCGCATAGCAGTGAACAAAAAACCCTGTCCCAGGTAGAACCCGAGGTACAACAAAGGTTGTCCTGTAACTTCTACACATCCCTAGTGACACAAAAGTGTCTGTACTCCTACACACAGACACACATACATCAGATGTATATAAACCCCTACAAAGATAAATAATTTTTCAAACTGCAATAAAGGACCAGCAAGATGGTTCAGTAAAACTGCTTGTCACCAATGTTGCGAGTCTTGTGACATGAGTTTTATGCCAGCGTGAAGGTGGAAGAAAATAACCAACTCTACAAAGTTGTGCTCTGACCACACATGCCCACACTTGGCACAAACATACACAATAAAAAAAGACTGCCATGAAGAGATGAGCATATCTCAATAGGAGAGAGCTTGCCTGGCATGTGCCAGGCCTTTGATGTGGTCCTTAGCTCTACCAAAAATCAAGAAAAGAAAAAAGCAGTAAGGGGTTTTTCCATTTCATTTTATATGTACAGTCTCTTTTGCCTGCATGTATACATACATGTGCACCATGTGTGTAGTGCCCACAGGAGATGGTGGAGTTACAGACTGTTGTGAGCTACTGAGAACTGGGTCCTCTTAACTACTGAGTCATCTCTCCAGCCCTCAGGTTTTAATATTAAATGTCCATGTGTTGGCACAGTTTGAAGCTTTGCATCTCCACAAACTACCTGCATGATCTTCCGCAAGCTGCATAAGCTCTCTGCAGCGCAGCTGTTTGCATATAAAACTGGAGCAGTGACTATTTCACAAGGTCACTGTGCATGTGAGCCACATTTAATACACATATGCAAAGTAAGGGCTCCTTCTGAGCTGTGTCTATAGTTCAGTTGACAGAGGGCTTGGCCGCCATACATGAGGCTCTGTCTTCTGGTGAAAGGGGTGAGCTGAACCTGGTGGCCTGTGGCCTGCCCTCGCAGCATCTCAGGAGGTGAAAACAGGAGGATCACAAACTGAACATCTAACTGGGCAACTTAGTGAGACTGTCTAAAAACAAAACAGTACTGAGAGCATAGCTTAGTGGACAGGGATTACCTGACACACATGCGGTCAGAGGTTCAGTTCCCAGTATGGCCAGAGAGGCAGGCAGGCAGATAGACAGACAGACAGACAGGGACAGGGACAGAGACAGAGACAGAGAGAACCGGGTACAGGACAGGCCTGGAGTGTAGCTTGCCCATCTTGTCCTAGGTGTGGGCCTCTCTAAACAGTCGCCCACACACTCCTCTTCCTATATTACAACCCAAGAGAACTTCTGAAATGTGAGACAAAGTCAGCCACTTTTGCATTCCAAGAAAACCAGAGAAATGTAGTGTTCATTTTTGTGGTTTTTTTTCCATCTTGCTAACCACAGAAAACAGCCACATAAATTCACCTCAGACTTTCCCCAACTCTCCCACCTCTGGGTAGAGTCCAATTTCCAGAAACAAGGTTGCCAAAGACTGATTTTGGTGTAGCACATGGTTTTAACAAGTCGGGGGAAAGGTTCTTTTCAACACAACTTACAGTGTGTGCTATGGAGCCTGTGCACTCATGTCTACTACACACATATGCAGTACACACAGTCACACTTTGAGTGATGCTATTTGATCTGCTTGGGGAAAGCCTGTTTGCTGAGCTTCATTTGAAAATCACCACAGACAGAAGCTGCTGCTCCAAGTTGGAACTGAAAGAGGCTTCGGCAATACTTAGCAGCACTGTCCAGGGAGTCCATGATGGATTTGACAGCAGCCACAACAGCTATTTTGTGTGCAGACTAACACACCCCACTCCCCTCCTGCAGAAAGACAACACTGGGTGATGTCCTGAGACAGCATGGAAACACTCTTACTCTGACTTCAGATTCCCAAACTTTCACACTGCCCTCACCCTCCCAACCACACACATCAAGATGCAAAGTAGAAGTGTTGACTAACACACCCTCTTGCTGTGCAGAACTTATGTGTGAACCAGAATGCAACTAAAATACTCACGCTCAAATTTAAAATGTTAAATGGCATTGGAATCCCCACCTACCCCAAACATCATTAAAACCCAGATACAGCATGGCCAGCCCTGAATTGACACCAGGACAGGCCCATAGTCCCTTCCACACACAGGCTGAGATCTGGAATTGGTGGTACAGAGAAGGGTCCAGAGTGGCAGGTTCATAAGAAGAGGATTAAGCAACCCCACACAAATCTCTGATGTGCTTATGTGTGGCTCAAGCACTTGTCTATCTCCTACATATGAAGTCTATCACATAAACTGTTTTAAGTTTTCAAAAATAATAAACACACACACACACACACACACACACACACACTGTTTTATCCTGAAACAATGCTTCTAACTTGTCATTAAATAGACCAGAAAATTCTTTTCTAAGTTCTCAAGGATCTGAGCAGATACACAGGGCTTTGGCCACATACATTCTATGTCAGTCTCTGGTTTCTTAAAAGGTCAATTTATTTTTATGTACATGAATCTCTGCTTGAATGTATGACTATGTGCCATGTACATGCCTAGTGCCTGGAGAGGCCACAAGACAGTGTTGGATCCCCTGGAAATGGAGTTACAGGTGGTTGTGGACACTAAAAACTGAACCTAGGTCCTCTGCAAGAGCAGCAAGTACTCTTAACCACTGATCTGTCTCTCCAGACCCCTGACTCAGGTTGTTAAAGCCCACTATCTTGGGGTTTCTATTGCTGTGATAAAACACCATGACTAAAGTAACTTGGGTAGGAAAGGGTTTATTAGTCTTACAAGTCTATATCATTGTACATCACTGAAGGAAGTCAAGACAGGAACTCAAGCAGAGCAGGAACCTGGAGGCAGGAACTGATGTAGAGGGCATGGAGGGATGCTGCTTACTGGCTTGATCCTCCTGGCTTGCTCAGCCTGATTTCTTATAGAAGTCAGGACCACTGGCCCAGGGATGGCTCTATTCACAATGGGCTGGGCCATCTCCCATCAATCACTAGTTAAGAAAATGCCCTACAGACTTGTGTACAGCCAGATCTTATGGAGGCATTTTCACCCCTCCGATGAGGTTAGCTTGTGTCAGGTTGACTTAAAATTACCCAGCACACCCACCTAGAAGTCAAAGTGGCCCAGTTCACTTAAATGAGAATCAAGTGAGAACTATGGTTGGTAATTATTGATCTCTAGGAAAGAAAGCACAAGAATCCAAACCCTTCCCCAAAGCTTCCATCACCTCCCATGACACCCCCCAAATGTCCACACATACATCTGGGCTTCTGTAGCTCTAGGTTGACACCCATCTACTTAACAACCAAGGAAATAGAGGGGAAAAAGAAAATCAACCTCATTATTGAGCTACAAAGCTTCTAATTTAGAACTTGAATTTTAAGCAAATACACTTTTACACATTTTTCCTTTTGTGACTATATGTGTGTGCATACATGTTTGTGGGTATACATGCATATGTATACATGTGTGTTTGGAAGGTCAGTCTTGGGTGTGTCATTCCTTAGGTGCCATCTACCTTTGTTTATTTTTTTATATTTTTAGTATTTTATGTCATTTATTATTATTGATGTGTATATGTGTGTGTGTATGTGCACACACGTGCGTGTGTGCACATACATGCAGATATGTTCATGCTAG